TAATAGCGATGGCCTCCCCCTAATAGCGATGGCCTCCAACCTAAGAGAGATGGCCTCCAACTTAAAGGCGATGGCCTCCAACCTAAGAGCGATGGCCTCCCCCTAATAGCGATGGCCTCAAACCTAACAGTGATGGCCTCCAACCTAAAAGCGATGGCCTCCCCCTAATAGCGATGGCCTCCAACTTAAAAGCGATGGCCTCCAATCCAAAAGCGATGGCCTCCAACCTAAGAGCGATGGCCTCCCCCTAATAGCGATGACCTCCAACCTAATAGTGATTGGCTTTAATGCAATAGCGATGGCCTCCCCCTAATAGCGATGGCCTCCAACCTAAGAGCGATGGCCTCCAACCTAAAAGCGATGGCCTCCCACCAAAGAGCGATGGCCTCAACCTGGTTAGAGCCGGATTCGGAAACTAATCGGTCGGATTCTGAAACTAGGGTTCTGAAACTGGGGTTCTGAAACTAGGGTTCTGAAACTTGGATTCTGAAACTGGTATTCTGAAACTGGGGTTCTGAAACTAGGATTCTGAAACTGGGGTTCTGAAACTAGGAATCTGAAACTGGGATTCTGAAACTTGTATTCTGAAACTGGAAAGTCAGATTCTGCAACTGGTATTCTGAAGCCGGAAAGTCAGATTCTGCAACTTGCCTTCTGAAACTTGCAACTGGTGATCTCCACATCATGCGACAGCGTGTGTGCCTGTGACATCACCTTCGAAGCACATCCAAACCAACGTCATTAGCCCCCCACCCAACCCCCCCACCCCCCAACCCCCCCTTGTCCCCATCGTGTGATCTCGACATCACGCCAACCCCCTCATCATTCACAAAGTTGCGGAATCCTAGTGAGGGAGTCCACAATGTTGCGGAATCCTAGTTGCGGAACGCCAGTTGCGGAATCCCAGTTGCAGAATCCTAGTTGCGGAATCTTGACAGTTGCGGAATCCTAGTTTCGGACTCCGAGTTGCGAAATCCTATTTGCGGAATCCCAGTTGCGGAGTCCTAGTTGCGGAATCCTAGTTGCGGAATCCTAGTTGCGGAGTCTTGACAGTTGCGGAATCCTAGTCCTAGTTTCGGAATCCTAGTTGCGAAGTCCTAGTTGCGGAATCCTAGTTGCGGAATCCCAGTTGCAGAATCCTAGTTGCGGAATCCTAGTTGCGGAATCTTGACAGTTGCGGAATCCTAGTTTTGGAATCCTAGTTGCGGAATCCTAGTTTCGGAATCCTAGTTGTGAAATCTCAGTTGCGGAATCCGACCAAGTTGCGGAATCCTAGTTGCGGAATCCTGCGCAGTTGCGGAACTCGACTTTATCCGCCTCAACCTAATAGGGATGGCCTCCCGAGGGCCTCCAACCTAATAGTGATGGCCTCCAACCTAAGAGCGATGGCCTCCAACCTAATAGCGATGGCCTCAAACCTAAAAGAGATGGCCTCCAACCTAATAGCGATGGCCTCCAACCTAATAGTGATGGCCTCCCCTAATCGCGATGGCCTCCAACCTAGTAGCGGTTGCGTCCAACCTAGTAGCGATGGCCTTCAACCTAATACAGTAACTATCAGTTTTTTCTCTGAGCCAAGAAACTCCACGTTCAAAAGGATACTCGCTCTTGTCGGCCATGACAAACCTGGCAGGGAAGGTGGGGACAGGTCAAAGGAACCAAATGCGAACCCGGAAAGAACCGGCATATAGAAGAAAGCTTAAAAAAACTCAGTATTGTATTACAGCAAAGGAGAACAGAAAGCTAATCAATGCATGTGTCACATAAAAAGATCACGCCTGGGATTTCTGATATTGCCCCTCTTCGATTCCTTCACATTGAGCCGCACCTAATCGCAAATTGCTTTATAATTACAAGTAAGTGAGTTCAGGATAGCTTCAGGCGGGGTTTTATGGGCTTGCCAAAGACAAGAACACGTCAAAAAGGTAAGGTGCACGCCATCAAGCTTGCAGCGATCCGGTCTTCGGGGATGGACATGTCAAGAACCTCAGGCCACACAGATTACACCCTGGTGGCAGATGACACTCTGGCTGCCAGGTCCCTAAATGTCCTACGTGTGATCGAAACTAGCGGGACTTTGCAGTGCTTGCAATCGAGCGAGTTGTCCCACCACACTTGCTGCAGCACTGTCGTGTCTTTGAGCCCACGGCAAAGGACTGCTGCTCCGGCTGGATGTATGGAAAGAGCGTCAGGGTCTTGGGGAGACAAGATCGACGACAAATCTAAATGCTCCCAAATGCCTTTGGCCTCTGCCTGGCGCCTTTGGCCACTGAGAAACCAACTCCGCAAAGTCTTCGGAGTTCCTTCCATTCATCCACATCCTGAGCAAAGCTGCACATGACCATCAGCAAAGCTGCACTGGGTCAACTGGGTCGCTGGCCAAGCGTGAGGCCACCATTTTCCTTGGCTTCTCGACTGGGTCGACAGCTTCCAATGTTGTGTTGGTCAACTTCATGTGTTTACATGCAAAAACAATAATGCAATGTAAAAGAAAAAACAAAGCATGTAAGAAACTCCGTGCTCAAGCTCCGCCGCGCGGCATGTTTTGAGGATCTGAGAGGCGCATCAGCACACAGCACAGCGCCTCTGGTCTGGAGAATGGCATGATTGGCATGAGAGTATGAGGCGCCGCCTTGCTGAATAAAATGATGCAAAACAGAAGGTGAGGGCCTCTTTAATAGGGCCGTTATCGAAGGGCCCTCAGAGTCGTCTCTTTGTGCTTAGAGTTTGAAGAACCGAAGGGGTCCAGGCTCTCCCGGCCTCCATCTTTTGCTCTCGCTCTCCAAAAATACCCGCGAGCTGTCTACACTGCATGGAAGTCAGGAAGATGCGATCCTCAATTCAAAGACAAGAACCCCGAGGCACGGTATTCATCCTCAAAATCATGATGTCCAATTGTAAACATAAGAATGATCACTGTCGTGTCAGTGAGCCTAGGGCACCTGGCAGAAACATTCCGCAGTACGTGGACTTTGGCCCGTGATTTGAGCGGCGCCTTCCAAAAGCTCTCGGAGCTTAGTAAGCTTTCCACGACATACTCCTTCAGGTATCTCACCCCTTTCACGATACCCTGCTGACCGGCTATTTATATACAGTACATAGAAGAAGTAACATTGACCTGAATGTCTCAAGCACCCAATACCACAGTTGCAAGAAACATGCTTGCCTGATAATGCTAAAGCTGGACATGGTGTTGCATTACAGAAGTAGTAAGTTTAAGATGAAGTTGATACCCATTTTGCAAGTTGCAACTGTTTTTCTCAAACTCTTCACAAATGCAGTCTTGCGTCCCCCACCTGCGCAAGTTTCGCCATCATCTCGTCCCAACTGGCACCAAAGAAGTGCACAAGCAAAAGGGGATACATTCGAGGACTAAGACGATGGATCAACGCCCACACCAGATCTACTGCCCACCCGATGGATGCACCTCTCCATCGGGAATGGATGTGCATCAGGACCTGGACGTCTCCAAGTGATGAAGTCCAACTCCAAAGTTTCATGGAAGGGGATGATCCTCAGCGGAGTTTTCCGGTTGTCCGACAGAGCTGGGGAAAAAAATCTACTCAACATTGCTTAAGAAGTCAGAGGGTGAGTCACCGGGTTAGTCTATGGAAGCGTGTGTGGGTAAACCTTGAGCATCCTTAGGCCAATTCATAACCTGTAGGGCGAGCGGGTTAAGTGGCACTAATTTCTGCTTGCTGCTTGCTTTGCTTAAAGCCGTGCCCTCACGGAATAGAAAAGCAGAAACACATTAATTATATATATTATATATATATATATACGTTTCCAGAAAAGGACTGGTCCAAAAAAGAGACAAACCTGGAAAGCTCGAGCAATGCAAACCGGACCAGACTTCAGATAGATAGAGGAAATGTGCAACCTTCAAGGATACAAAATACAGCTTTATACAACAGAAGCCCGGTGAACATTCACATACATTCACACAGAACATATATTTGCCATGTTGTCACCAAATTCTGGCTTCCGATCAATGAGCATGCAGCCATTGTTGACTTGGCGTCCATCGATACCCCGCAAGACACAGTCCTTCTGAGCACCCAACCAATCTGCTAAGGAGATCATCGAATTGTTTTGATGTCTACAGTTGCGCACCTCAATGACCACATGTTTTGTACTGTAATGCAACTGACTTGTACAGTAGTAGCACGACCTTTCCTTCCTTGCTTTTGAGTCAACATCCATCTATTTTGCTGACTGGAAATGCTACACAATCAAGGACTAAGAGCAAAGCACTTGACCAGTTGCCATGCCTTAGATTTTGCACCAGTGCAGCAATCTCTGAATAAAGATGAGGCTTCTCAAGGAATCGATGCAAAAGAATCTACAGTAACTGTCAGGATAAAGTCACCAAATGTGCCACCACCACAAACAATGTTCCAACATCCTGCAAATGAAGAAACCCCATCTCTTTGTGAGACTCTGTACTCTGTACTGAACATTCAAGATTGCCGCTTGCACCAAGCAGCTGAGAGCGATCTTCTAAGCCTTTGTTTCGTGCGATTGAGGACTCCCAGGCATCCAGCCTTGTCAGTCTTCCAGGTTTGGTGAATTATATAACAGTTGGCTACTAGTAACAAGTGCATCGCTACTAATAACAAGGGCATCGCTACTAGTAGCAAGAAGTTCGTAGTAGTACTGCCCTTGTTACTAGTAGCTTCTTGCCACTAGATTCTGATACCGCTTTCTTCGTTCATCAAGTCAATGAGGGAGCGACATCTTCAACATCTCAGCCACTGCAAAATCAGCCGAATTCGACAGATCGAGGATGTAGTGCCTCAAATCTCAGACAAGGCAAGACAGAAATCCTACGCTTGCAAAGCCGAAGCTGTGGTATCCGGACCCTGAAGGACTCTCTGGGTTAAAGATGAAGAGCCTTGCGCAAATATAAAGCACAATACATTCAGTGCTTTGTGTGCACGTCACAAATCATGTCAGGTCATTCTGGGTGGTCCATTCAGAATCCAGCACACTGGACCACTACCCTTGCGAGCAAAAGCCACACATGTCACGCTACAAGGGACCCACAAGCAACTGCAGCCTCTCGCAGCGTCTGTAGACCTCTCCGACAAACACGAGAGTGAAAGCACAAATCCTCTTCCAGTTGTTCAAGCCCAAAAACAATTGCTAAATTAGTCATACAAGTCGTTGCAAGAAATGTGTCTCTTTTGCTTGGCCACCTCTGTTCCCAAACTCTAAGCTCTGCAGTTGAGAAATTCCGCGAGCATGAAGGCCTTGATGTATTCCCGCAGCCGTGGCAAGTGCGTGAGGGCCTTGAAACCATTGGCCCGTCCAACTTTGCACAAATTGGCATGTAAAGCAACCTAATAGCAAAAGGAACCTACGAGGAAGAGCGATGGCCTCCACCCTAGTAGCGATGGCCTCCACCCTAGTAGCGATGGCCTCCACCCTAATCAATGCAAAGAATGTGAAAATACCAGAGTCCTGAGTCCTGTGCAAGGAAAAGGCGCACCTGCGACCTGCCCAGGTCTCTACCCTGCTGTGTTTAATTTCACCTTGTCACACTTCAGTTCTCCTTGGTTGGTCATGGTCCTACACTGTTTGGACCTGTGTTTGAACTTCCATCCAACTGTTCCACTTGCTTTCCGACACCATGGCCTGTGAACACCAGCAAGCAGAAGACACAGAGAGTCGATGCCCTGGACTGCATCCTGTCGTCCAAATATATACAAATAGCGCCAAGAATAAGAAGGAGCCAATAAGTCTTCTTCACACAAGTCTTCCTCACCTCTGATATGACAGACAAAAAGTCATATTCCAAAGTGAAGTCCGCAGACAAAGCATCCTTGGGGCCAGAGAATGGCAATGCATCTCACAAAAGACTTCATCAGCAAGCAAAAGCATTTCTATAACATGATCTGTATCTAGTATTATCTAGTAGTCTATAGCCTGAAGATTGCTGGCAAGCAAGCCAGGCGCAGAATTTGAACCTGAGAGCTCCCGACGAGGATCAGTTTCTGCTCATCGGGTCGACCTTTAAGGCCTCAGGTCGGGTCCGGCACCACTGATCGACACAGCAGAAGCAAACAAATATGCACTCTCAGCCAGTGGCTTCTGAACTGCGCCAGCAAACAAACGACCTGAAGGATGGAATGATAGAAGTTTAGTTTTTTGATTGTAGAATGGGCGCTCTTCGGTCTGGCAGAGACCTGGTCGTGACAGACCTGGTCGTTGGGCACCTTTGGGCCTTGCCCGGCCTTGCGGAAAGTAAGCTTTCGCCGCAGCAACGCCTGGCTATGTGGCCCGGCGCGTTGAAAAAGGCGTGCAGTGCCCTTTATCGTTGGATGAACTGAAAAACATGCTCACTAAAACAGTAGTCAAAAATGATCAAAAATGCCTATATAGGGGGTGGCTGGGGCGCACTTTTATTATATAATCAAATCAACACATCAACGGCTCATGAGCCTTTAAGACTTTTGTCTCTTTGTTTCCCAATCTCCCAAGGCGCACGAAGTGACGGTCCAAATACATTGAAGCCAGTGGCCGCGGCCCTCGAAACCTGCCAATCTCAACAAGACCTGTATGGGCAAACTCTGGTTGGTTAAGAAAGTGAAAAGCATTCAAGGTGTTTTTCTATGCCCAATCCTTCTTTCTTCTGTTCTAACCCGGAAGGCCTGAAATCTTGGAGGGTTTCGACATGTTTCTAGATCCCAAACAAAAGGCATAGAAACAAATTGATCAAGATTGAAGGTTGAAAACGAAAGTCAAGGCAGTCTAACAGATTCCAACAGGTTCTGCAGAGTCACTTTGGCACCTGCCGTCAAGACCTTCTGTCTCCGGAACCAGCTTTCCCCGTGCCTGAAAGCGGCTTTTCGAGGTCGAGCTGTGCTTTCATGTGTGTTCTCATGTTCTCAAGTTGTTGAATCTCATGCTCAACTCATGTTCTCTTTTCAGTCTCAGTGTGAGGCAGGATCCAAAGTAAAGCAGAAGCTGACAATGCCCGAGGTGGGGACAGAATAAACCTCAAGTGGCACCGTCCCAGATCATGCAACATGGGCCACATCGGGGGCTTTGAAGTCCTTTGGTGCAGCTGAGTGCAAGGCACCAAAGGCATCTTTCCCTGGATGTTGAAACCTGGGTCGCCATCGGGGACGGTTGATCATTCTCTTTCTTCGGCGACCCGAGGCCAGGACGCTTGGTTCCTAAAGGCAAGATCAGGATCTATATACACAAGAAAAGACATACGAATCACCCAGGTCTTCAAGTGGCTAAGTGTTTAAACGCCCATGTACGAGCATCCGCGTCTTAAAGTGGTGCAGAGTAGCATGCATCATGTGAGAATGCCAAAACAACACATCAGCCTTGACAAGTCTGCCGGGGTGTACACCAAGTTCTGGAAGGCCTGGTAATTTCACGAACCCGGAAGCAAGTTCGCGCAACTTGTCTTCTTGTCATGAAATCGATAATAGCTTCGAATAAACTCCTATCTCATCAAGGCTCCAACTTGTTCTCACACAACTCAATTCTCGTCAAAGCCAAAACCAGCTCCACCTGAGGAATGTCCAGTTTCAGGGCTTCGCATGTCTTGTAGAGCAAGCGCAGAAGTGACCTGCCACGCTCTAAAAATGCTGGAAGACCAACATTCATCCCTGTCATTCTGTTCTTGTCTCGACATTGTTGTGGGTGTGGGCTGCAAAATCAATAAATTGCACAAAGGCTGTAACACTTCCCTGCTGTATCGTTATATACATCGGCAAAGCTACCTTGCATCCTGCACTCCCAAGGTGAGTCCCAAACAGTTAACTTCAAGTTTGGGTAATGCAGACAGAGCTGCCTGCCATGGGCCAGGCTTAGATCCAACCTCAGGGCACTGAAAAAAGGACAAAGCACAACTCCAAAGGACGGCGGTACCATGACAGTGCCTGTGCTTCGTCCCGCGAGTGGAATCGGAGAACACTGCTGAGTTCGGCACCGGTAAAGCCCTGAAGGCTCTGTGGCTTGATACGTGGGCTTCTCACTACCTGCGGGTTCTGCAATGAGATCTGCAGATCCGGGTTCTCAATGTCTCCAGGTGTCTCATCTGTGGAACCTATTGGTCGAAACGTCAATCATTATTCGAATATCACTGCGTGAGAGTTGTACAACTTGTCCCATATTGGCACTCCAAATAACCATTAAGAAGAGACTCCTCCTAGCTCGTCGTCAGCCTTGACAGCCATATGCTTCCAGCAATCGAAGCCCGCAGCTGCTGAGGCTTAACAGCCGGAGTAAACACCTAAAACGCATGAAAACGTGACCACGACATACCACTACCATCTTCCACACAAGTGAGCACTGCTCTACTCACTACGACTTCCGATTCTTGCAAAAATATGTGGTGCTTCTTCATTGACACAATGCTTGTATATATATATATATATATAACTCTATTCAGACCTTTCCCTCACAGGCTTTGCAGCTAAGCTGAGGACCGCAGCCCATGGGAACCCAGCGGGTTCTGGTTCATGTAGAGCTCCTGCACAAAGGCTTAGGCTGACAGACGTCACATCTAGTATAACATCTAGTAGCGATGGCCTCCGACCTAGTAGCGATGGCCTCCAACCTAAGAGCGATGGCCTCCAACCTACGTACTAGCGATGGCCTCCAACCTGGTATAGCATCCAGTAGCACTGTTGAAGTCTAAAGGAGCCAACACTGCAATGAAGCCAGTAATTGTCCTTCAGCTTCGCATGCTGAGCTAAAGAGTCCTGCGCCACGGGCCAAGCGACGGATGGACAGCAGGACATCTCATGTTGGATTCCGTGTGAGTGGTCGGCGTTCAATCTTTTAGGGAGTCTTGTTGGGACACAGACATGCAGCATTTTTCATCCAACATGCGGCTTTGAGCCTCCAAGATCAAGGCACCAAAGGAGTCCAGCCGATTCATGGAGAGGTCGAGCGTCGTAAGGCTGCTATTTCGGTAGAGGCCTTGAAAAACTACTGAAAAAGATCTAAAAATATGTGAATCAAACTCCAACAAACCAGTCAAGCATTCGCCTTCCAGAAAGACATGGGTGGAGCTGTGACTGCCAACGCAGCTGTCGCAGTTTGGCATGTGCAGCTCACGCAGTCGCTTGTGTCCGGAAAGCCTCATGTGCGGATTTAAAGAGATCTCCCATCTCTGATCTGTTTCATCTTTTGTCAAAACAGCAGAACAAGGCTTTAAGGAGTACTGAGTAGTAACTAGCATGCCACACATTCTGGATGTACCCCATTCTATGGCAGTACTAGACTACAGGACAAAAACTATGACATTCTGCCGGGGCCGAAGAACTGCATCCAAGAAGCATGTCACCTAATGACTTCAAGGCCTCTTCGGAGAAGCAATTCCAACCAAGACCCAAGACCTGGAAACAGAAAACTCCCAAAACGGTTTCTTGAGGGGTGGGCGGGAGGTCGTAAGTCGGTATACAGTACAGCTTACTAAGTAGTAGTGGTGGTGGTGGTGGTGGTAGTAGTAGTAGTAGTCGTAGTGGTAGTGGTAGTGGTAGCAGCTAATCAAGCTACTACCCAGGACGAAGGAATGCTCAAGCTATTCTTTACTTTCTTTCCTTCCTGTCTTCGCTCTTTAACATCTCCAATCCTAGCAACACTGACAGAAGCGTCGTGGGTGTTGATTCACCCTTGCAGCAACTTTGTGCACGTCCCAAACAATGGTGAGCTTACAAAGCTAGACAAAATACAAACCCTGACTAAGCACTTCCACCCGTATACATATTTACATATACATGTATCAATGTATATAGTATATGTAGATATACTATGCGTGATAGTCGAACAGGAGCTTCAACAAAACCTCGCAACTGTCCGCACCTCCAATGGGGCTGCAAGCAAATCTTGCAAACAGCTGGCAGCGTTGGGGTGAACACCCAACGTTGTGTCGGCGATATGGAGACCTCCACAGATTTATATACCAAACTTTACAAGCTGACAAAACAAGCACAAAAGTTCTCCAATAGCCAACAGCCGAGGGGCAGCGGATTGCAGGGTGCACGTGCAAAGAGTGGCACAGCGCTGTCATCATAGAAGTAGAGATGCGAATACCACTGATGTCCAGGTGTCTCAGTTTGTAGAGGCCACTGGATTCCTAGATGCGAGTCAAAAAGCAAACACCTCATTTTTCCTGAATTACCAAAGTGGGCCCCAAAAACATTCGCAAAACAGTGGTCAAGGGGGAAGAGGGAGTTTTTGACTTCATAGGCGACAGACAGAGAGAGAGAGAGAGAGACATAGAGAGGGCTGGCAATTGGAAGGAGAAAGCAACGAGTCCGGAGAGAGTGCAACTTCGACATCAAATTACGGGCCAAAGCCAACCAAATTGAGAAACAAAACGCGGAGTTCAAAGTATGCACCAGCGAGGTATGATACAAGAATGACCAGGTGAAGGAAGAACCCTGAGTTTGAAAGGAAGAGGCAAGTGATACCAGTTGCTTAGATATCCCAAACTTATAGTCAAAGCATGTTGGAACATTCAGTTGGTGAGCAAACAACCTAAAATGGCCGCAAGGAGATGGCACCCATCCTCTTGTACACATTCAGGAGAGCTGCCTTCCCCCAAGAAAAGCACACGACCCAAGCCCGTTCGCATCTCAATATGTCTGGTACTTTTCATCATGCGGCCACCAGCAAAGCCACCAGTGTAGAGACAGCTTTCGGCCCAGCGCCACGGCATCTGGCCAGGTCCAGCTTTTCCAAGGAATCCATCGCCTTGGCGGTGGTGGGCAGGGGAGACCTAGCGACCTAGCCAGTAAGATTAGGTACTGTAAGTGGCAGGGGTAAAAGACCAGCTAGAGATGGCTAGAGTAGCTACTAGTCAGTAACGGCCGCTACTAGGCGCCCAAACGGACAATCTGCTCAGGCTTGATTGAGTTGGTTCCTAGACAGACTCAGCTGAGAGGACCTCAGGACCTCTGCTCCAAATTTTTGTTCCGAACAATGACCCCAAAGAAGATGCTGAAGATGCTGAAATGTCCTGAACGGAGTCCTCTGTTCTTTGGGTATGCTTTGGGTCAAACAAGCGCAGCTCAGCCACGGGTCGCCCAAAGAGCTGCTGCAAAAAACTCTGCAAGGCACTGTCGCTCAGCTTGGTGCTCCCAGCCAAGACCACCTGGCAACTGTAATACAGTAAGTATGTATCTTCTGTTCTGAATCCAAGCAATTGACTAAGAAGTGAAGCCGGAACCAATTTGGCCAAATGCCGATTGTGCCTCGCGAATGCTGCTAAGGTGGCCTGGGAAATTAGGAAGAGGTCTCCGAACAACAAGGAGGCCACAATTCTGGCTTCAGAAACTCAGAATGCATTTCTGTTTCTTTACATGCAAAAACATGCAGTTGTCATTGTGATTTCCCACAAGGAGGGTCTCCAAGTCCGCCGCCGATCAAAGATGACATGGCCAGCAACCTCTGTTGTTGCAAAAGCAAGGGAGCTCTGGCAATATTTACCGGTCAATTCTATATACTACTGACCTCCAAAAGAACACTCAACACATTTCTGCCAACATCAGACTTTAAAATTTAAACAAGCAAACAGCAACAACAATATCAAACCATCCATTTGCATGGCTTGCTTGTGAATCCAAATGGCTCATCATCCAACAGAAGCTCGCCACCGCTGTAGATGGCGCTCTGTCGCACCATCTCCAGCACAGCAGCTGTTGGTACGACACCAGTGGCGTTGCACACCTCAGGAAAGGTTGCAAACAAATATCCCAAAAGATGGTAAGCAAGAAAAGAAGAACAGCAAAACCATCAGCAAATGCATTCCTTGCGCACGCAGCCAAGCAGCTCGAATATAGCGCATCGTTGCCGAGTCTTTTTCTGCCTCTGGCTCAGGCAGGCCAGTTTCAGTCCGGACCTGCACGTGCTGCGCTTGCTACTCTTTCCTTCTCTGCCACGGAGTCATGCAGTGGGATGGCGGATGATGTTAGCATGGGGAAGCCTTTCCCAGCAGTGGGTGATCGAGTTTGTACCCTTGCCTTCTGCCAAGGCCCAACTCTTGGCATTTGTTCTCAAGTTCTCACAATTTCTTCACGAAGAGTTGCAACAGCTTTGATGTGTTTGCAATGCTCAGGCCTGAGATTGCCAAGGCCGCAGAAAAGGTTCTGCAACTTTCTCCAGGGGAACTGGCATAGAACTTTCGAAGCTCAGAGCTGTTCTTGTCAAGTTCCTGCACATTGTTGCTCATGGTCCATCCAGCATCCCATGGAATGTCTCTCTCCCTCTCCCTCTCCCTCTCTCTCTCTCTCTCTTGCAAGTAGCTTCTAGCGTGGTCAAATGAATTCAGAGTCAGCTGTCTTCTGAGCACTCCTTTAAATTGCCTTTTCTATTGTTTGATAACAAACTACCAGAAGACTTCGTTGCGTTGTAGTCTTGTTCCAGGGCAAAGTTGGCAGAAGAAGAAATGGTCGGTTAAGTTATGTTCCCAACAAAACCTTCTTGAACTCAAACCACAACCAGAAATGTGTGTACCAAAATGTAGGATGCTTGGATACCTGCGTGGAGGAAACTCAGATCAGATCCTGCCGAGTGCTACAGGAAGAGACTTCAAAACAAAGCCAAACAAGTTCCCCCAAGTCACACTAATTTGAGCATCCAGTAAAAGTTTCGGATCTTGGGAAGAAAAAGAAGCACAGCTCAAAACGTGTAATGACAGTGTAATGTATCCTTGAACTGTCTTTTAGCGGCTAACTTTTAGCGGACAAGTATCTGAAAGCACTCTGCATTTGGTCCTATGACGCTGCCTACAAGTGCTTCCAAAAATACATGACCAACTTCTGCAGTTCCGTGGCGAGACAGCTCGTTTTTTGCGCAATGAACCACAGGTGGCCCAAATGATCTTGATCAAGGTACATGGTGTGTATCTTCCGGAACATCCCGAATTCTGGCCAAGGCACGTCGGCATCTCTTCGGACATGCTGGGCAGCTGCAACATTGGCAGCAACGTTCCTTGGGTTCCATGGAGCTGCATGCCGATGCCCGTGTCGCGTCTCCAACTTGACGTTGAGGAGTACCTTTGCTTGAAGACGTCAAAAGCCATGTTCAAAGCAAAGTGTGCACAAAGGTAACCCAGAAATGAAAAGTGGAATGAGCCACCGGACCATGGGGTGTGATTGCACAGGACCACAGGATCTTGACAACCTCAAGCCCTGGTGTACCCAAACACCCACCACCTGACAGTCAGTCATAAGTGTTTGCAGTCAAGGTGCATGGAGCTATTGCCATCCTGAGAGGACCTGTCCAGTGTGTAGGCAATAATGCTGCATAACATTGCATTACTTGAAGCACACCCCAGCTTTGGCCTGCTCAGGCGGGGCAGAAGGGGCAAGGAACGGCTCTCGCCTGAAAACCAGGCGGTGCAACTGTGCGATCACCACCATTGACACGATCACATTGCTTTTCGTTTGCTGACCTGCTCCTGCTGCCCGGCGCTTGGGCTCAAGGAACCTTCCCAGATCAAAGTAGCCCTGCTCCTTCACAGGACCAAAGGCAAACAAAATAAAAACGGAAGGGCCCTCAAAGGCCTTTAAAAGGAGATCAAAAAGAAGGCAAGGGCCCCGTGGATCAAAGAAGGTACCGGGCCCTTAGCTTTTTCTTTCATCTCTTTTGTAGACTCTTTGGATTTCATTGCAAACAAATTCATTCAACGTCGATCCAACATCGGTCCGCGCGCCTGCCGCGTCATTGGCCGGCTGTCAAGATGGAACTCCTGAGCCAGCGAGCTCCAAGAGTGAGGCACACTGAGATTCTGGTCGATCTCATCAGCCCTTTGTTCCTAGTCCTAGTAGCTTCTTGCTACTAGTAGTACGGCCAGGAGCGTCCTTGTGCCTTGTAGTAAGGCCAGAAGCCCCTAGTAGTTTCTTGCTACTAGTACATCAAGAAAATGCATCACTCTATCAATAAAATGTCTACATGGAAGGCGACTGTCAGACATAAATCGACTTAGAGATATGCCATGATATGCACTCCTGGATCTCTGGTGTTGCTCGAGGCTTGGATTTTGGCTCAATGAGTGGCAAGCGTTTTTGCTGGATCTCGCGACGGTGCTCCAAGACCTGCTAGGTTTCCAAGGTTGGACACTTGATGTGCTTCCTTCTGAATTACATGCACGAAAGAACGAAGCAAAATACCAAGCGCAAAATACAAGTTTCAAACAGATCTGCACGCAGATTTCGCGTTCCTCAAGGCAGGACTGCTTGCCAGCCCCCCTCTATACCACCGCCCTCCTATCGCCCTGGCCTTCCGGGCAACCTGCGAACGCTTTGATTTCAATGCTGCATGGCTCTCCTGCAAGGAAAACATAGCAATCGCAAAATATCGAAGCTCCCCGTCTGCACCTTGTTCTTGTCATTGCTTTCCGACTTCGGGAGCAAAGACTTGAGCCTCACTCAACAACCCGTGTTTCGCTCCTTTTGGCTCTCCCACATCCGAGCATCCGAGCATGCTAGCCGTTTCGCATGCACCAAAAGTGTTTTTTGGATCTCTTTGGGTCCGATGGATTTGAACAAATTGGTACAGTAGTTGCTTTGTTATTTCTTGTTTAGCCCGCTACTACTTACTGTAAGTATATAAGTAGGCGCCTACTTGATAGAGTAGGGGAGACTAGTTAGCTTCTAGGACGCAGGATAGCTCACGCTTCTTCAAGGAAGCTCCCCCCCGCCGCCCTAACAGGCCCGTTCATGGTGTCGGTCCCGTGGAGGGCCCGTCGAGCTGGGACTTGTGTAGCGGACCATTCTGAGATTTTGAGGGAAACTTGGCCAAGAGGCAGCTCGGCTGGCTGGTTTTGGCTTGGCACCCACTTGCTGTCCTGCAAGGGCTGGACTTGACAGCACTGGGGCCAATTTAAGCTTCGGGACTGGGATTGTTGCTGAGCCTTGAAGAAACTGAATCAAATCTCTGTTCTGAAACTTGTCTATCTTAAGATCACCTTGTCTGCAGTCCTCTTTGTGGTAAATGCTCCAGAAGTCACGCGAACCCTTGCTATCGAACCTCTGGAGTGGGTTGGTCAAGGCTTCCTCTGGCTCGCCTCAAAGAGTGGACGGTGTTTATTTTGTATTTATACTTTGCTTTAGATTTTAGACTCTGTTTTTCAAGATTATTTTTCTTCCAAGTAGCGTCTGTCTTTCAAGACATCGCGAAAGGAAAGCAACCCCACTTGAAAGTCAACAGCAGTTTCCAGACCACGGCAACGCTGCACCAGCTTCAAGATGTCCTTGGGTTCTGCCATGTCCACACCACATAAACTTTCAGAGATTCAGGCACCACTATGCAGGTCATAAATCATGCTCTCATTGCAAATTCAGAGCCTTTGCAGCAAAGAATTGGATGCAACCGTCCAGCAACCAGGCCTCTCCAAGCTGTTGAGTCAAGTCTCCCTAGCTTGGATCTGAGCTTGCCGGAGCCCGTTCACTGCATCAGTCAAGTGTTCCTCCAGTGCAAGCTGCTCAACCATGAGGTGCTTCTCATGGACACAATGACCGAGTTTACCAACGCGAAAGTTTGGCAGATCAATGTGCCCAAGTTCCGACAGACTCACGCCAAGGGTCTTTTCGGGAAATACGACAAACGGTCGGTGCAGTTCCATCATGAAGGGGGAGCGCGTTTGATGTAAACAACACGATACAATGTGAATGTATATATATATATGTAAAGGCAGTGTCACCAGGACGACCCGTTCCTTCAGGCACCTTTGGTTCGAGGCAGAACCGTGGAGAAAAGTGGCCACGCGGTTGGGAGGGTAGGAACCCTTGTTGTGGGCCAATCGGCCCTTGTTTTCACAGTGGTAGCGGAGCCCCTGCGCACAGGGGCGGGGGTATCCAAGTAGAGCGGTCTTAGGTTTGACGGTGAAGCTCAAAAGCAGTGTCACTTGCCATGGCATCTTCAAGTGATGGTTCAGCTGGCATGAAACGGTTCAGTGGTGAGAGCCTGGACCCCAAAGAATATCGTCGCTGGCGGTTGTGGGCTTTGGCCAAAATGGCCTCCATGAAGGACATGCAACCAGGTCAACGAGGCCCTTTCATTTTCTGCTTGCTAGATGGGCTGGCCTTAGAGACAGTTGAACACCTCACGCTCGACAAAATGCGTGAGGAGAATGGTGACAAGCACATTTGGGCAGCTTCAGATGAACGCTTCCCAGACAAGCTTGCTCACGACCACATGGCTGAGTGTCTCAAGGAGGTCTTCGAATTGCAAGCAACTGAAGGGGAAAGCATTGCTGCCTGGCGCTCTCGTGCGCAGGAGGCTTTTTCCAAGCGCCGTCGCAAGGTGGCTGTGGATTTCCCATCAAGGCTCGGGGTTGGGTTTGTCTCAACGCCTCTGGACTGTCGTCCGATCAACGGGCAATCGTGACTCGCGACGGCAAAAACTCAGGGAGAGCTCAAGCTGGAGACCGTAGTGGCGGCTATGCGCAGTTGCTTTCCGGATTTCCGGGTAGCCAAGCGACCTAGCAGAGGAGCTTACATGGTTCATCATGAAGCAGAAGCCACAGAACCGGAGACGGGGCCGGCTCCAGCCCGATTCTGCTGTTTTTGGTGAACTATGCAGCGCAAACAGCACTACGACAAGTCCCATCATGCGTGTGTCCAGCAATGATCTGGTGTGTCTTATGATGTTCCGGTCCTGGACACTGCAAGGCTAAGGACGCCATGTCGGGGTGCGAAACAGCAAGGCCAGTCGTCTTGAGGATTGGCTGACCATTGTCTGGGTCTTTCAACTCATATGCGCACATGTTGGCGCGATGCACCACAAGTTGATTTGACTTCAGTAACTTGGCCATTGGTGGATATTTCCACTGATCACTGGCCCAGGGATGTTCCACCAACACACGGCCTCCACGCTTGATTTGCTTCTTGATTTGTTGAACGCAAAAATCAGCTTGTCGTTGGGCAATGCGCTCATTCTGTAGTTGCTCCAGCATAGGAAGGTCGACCTGTCGCTGTATTGATGTCTTCAACAGATCCCAACCCTGCTTGATGTCGTAAGACAGCCCCTTCCTCTCCCCTTTTTGCAGCATAGTCACTGAACCGTGGTGGTGAAAACAACTCTGCCGCCACGCATGTGCTTTCTGTTCTGTTCCAAGCCCGTTGTTGAGCCAGGAGACAACGTTGCTCCCGCACTGTACACACCCGAGTGGGTCCAGCCTGCCATTGGTCATGATCTGCAGGAAGCACCTTTTCCTGCTCCACCACGAAGGCTTCTTTGGTGTCCATGAGATTATAAGAATGAGCTGACTTGCTTCATTCAACTGCAGCGGATGGGGCCGCCCTGCATTGCAATGGTGCCCTTCGAGAAGTCGAGGACTGCTTTGAGGCTCTTCAAAGTCCCTCGACAGAAGGAGGGGTGCGTCGCCCTTGATCACAGCGGCATCGATTCGGCCCCGACGGCCATGGATGACCACTGGCATTGACACTACACGCTCTGACAGTTCCTCCTGTCCATTGCCGAAGCGGAACAGGTTCTGCTCCGACGTGTGTCGCTCGTGGTACAGGCGAAGGAAGGCGCCCAGAGTCTCCTGACCGATGAGGGTCTGACTGATGACCATAGCCCGGTGAGGACACAAGTAAAACTTCATGCGAAACAACAGCTGCTCCGTTGACCTTCTCCTTGTCTGTCTTGGAGGATGAACGCGCTGCTTGAGGGCAATTTCTTGCCCAGCGTCCGATCTGGTTGCATCGGCGACAGCGAGATCGTTTCTGAAGGTCGATCACCTCCCGGGAGAACTGTTTCTTGATGGAGTTGGCCTGCTGGAACTTGCGTGTCTTCTGAAGTTTTGAAATCTCAGAACGACGGTCCTTCCATGTGGCAGCCAAAACTTCAGCAATCTCGGCCTCCTCATAGGTGTCGGAACTGACTGTTGTACTGTCCTGTACCCCATGCTCTGCTAAGAAGGCTTCCGTAGCAACATGGATGTCACGCGTTCGACCTCAATGCAACCTGTGTTTGCTTGCTTGCAGGAGAGTGTGTCAAGTGAGGGGCCACAGCTAACTATGAACAGAGTCATGAGGTTTGTGCTGCGGCTCAAGTGCAAGACCCCGAAAAGATCAAAACCCTAGTGAAGAAACTGCGCAATAATCTAGGGCATCCTTCCACTAGAACCCTAGTTCGTATTCTGAAGAACGCAGGAGGCTCTCATGGCAACCCAATCAACAAGTCAAATGTTTGAACCTCATTGATTTTGCTACCAGCTTTCAAGTCATGGTCCCCTTTTATGAGAAAGAAACCAACGAGCTCCTTCGTCGCTTGTTCAGGGAGACGTGGCAACGGTGGGCAAGTCATCACAGATCCGGCGAAAACCAACACGCCGAAGCTGTGTTCCAGCAATTGGAACAAGACGGGGCTCGCATGATCACCAGTGCTGCAGAGGCACATTCACAGCTAGGGAAAGTAGAGAAGCATGGCCATTTGTTCGAAGTCATATTGCAGAAGGTTTTGGGCCAGGCTCAACCAAAGAACAAAACCGAATACGAACAATGCATTGTCCAAACCATGAATGCCAAAAACGAACTGTTGAATCAGAAAGGCCTATCACCCTGTCAGCTGGTGTTCGGACGCAATCCCCGTGCGCCTAGTGATTTGCTGCAAGAATGGCCATGTCCCGTCGCCGGAACCACGCCATTGCATGACGCAACGGCGGCCAGAGCACAAGCAAATTCGAACTCAGGCACGGACTGCACTCATCATGGCCCAAGACGACCAAGCACTTCGAACCGCTCTCAATGCTAGACCCCATGCTGAAAGGGAGTTCCTTCCTGGGGACTATGTGGCATACTGGAGAACCCAAAAATATGAGAAGGGTATTCGAGGTCGTTGGTTTGGGGTAGCAATCATCATGGGCAAAATCGGTCACAACTTTCTCATATATCACCGGAAGAACATCTTCAAAGTAGCCCCTGAACATCTTCGACACGCTTCGCATGAAGAACGTGTCATGGCCCAAACTGAAGGTAGAGAGCTGTTGGGACTCAGCGCGTAGGGGTGATCTCATCCACACGGTGCATCGAATTCCACGGGCTGAGAATTTCATGCCCAACCCAAATGATCCTGAGCTTCAAGCTATGTCTCTTGAGAACTATCGCAAGACAATCAGAGAAGACACCAAAGAATGTGTGATCCACCAGGTCCTGTCCACACCCGAGCACAGAGTGATAGCCTGGGGAGAAACACCATGGGTTGGAGAGTCTCAATTTCGGATCAGAGAACGGCGGGCGCGAACTGACAGTCCAATTGCCGCTAGTGCAGCGCCAGTAGCGCCAGCCGGAACCACCACGGTGCCAGGTCTTGACACCAATGCAGGAAGCCTCTCTCGGAATGACAGAAGGGACGTCTAGCAATGTAGGTCAACCACACATGAAACCAACGCACGTTCGGCTCCGTTCGATCCAAAAGAGTCTGGTGATCAGGGTTCCCAGCAATATGGACCAGTCAGGCTCAGGCAACACCACAAGAGTCCTCCACTCTTTTTAATTCGCCCCCCGGAAACTTCAAGAAATGTTGACCGCGTCACATGGAACCAAGAGAAGCCTATCTCCCGAAGGCCAAGCAGGTGTGTCAAACAAAGCTTCGAGGATTGAATCCGAGGGCGACGAGTGCCTGTTTTCAGAGCTCGCTCGGGAGAGTGGACCAGCACCGTGCGTCGAAGTCCTGATCGCTAGTTTCCTACAAAAGAAGATGCAAAAGGAATTACACCACTCAAAGAATCCACCAGAACTTCAAGAGCAAATCGACCTGTCCAAGACCACGGAGTGGACTACTCTGAGAGATGAGAAACAAGCTCTGAAAGTGATTCCTCCTCGTGAAGCTGATCGAATCCGCACCAACAAGCCAGATCGGATCACGACAAGCCGATTCGTTATCATTGAGAAAACCGAGGATGGCAGTAGCAAAATCAAAGCCAGGTGGTGTCTTCGAGGTCATCATGATCCCGATTTGTTCAGCAAATAGTACTTGCCGGAAAGTGCCACTCGCCGACCTTGTCTCAATTCGGCCGCAGCCTGATCTGATCTTACAAATGATAGTAAATCATCAATGGGCGACGCATCTAGGAGACATAAAAGAAGCCTTCCTAGAGGCTGACGTCCGAGAGAAGGCACTGGCAAATCCGGTATTCGCTGAACTACCTCCAGGCGGAGTTCCCGGAGTTGAACCGAGGTGTTGGGAAACATCTACGGGGCGAATGACGCTCCTCATGAATGGTATTGTGAGTTCGATCGGGTTGCCAGCCTCAGGTTTCGTGAAAAGCAAATTCGACAATTGCCTGTATCTTTGCTTTGGTTCAAATGGAAACCTTGAGGGAGTTCTGGGGGCACATGTGTCGACGACACCATTACTGGAGGTTCAGGTCCTCGTTATGAAGCTGCAATTAACACCCTAAGAGGTAGATTTCCATTCCGAAAGTGGAGGTCCGGAACAGGTGAGTTCCTAGGCACGGTGTATGAGCAAGATCCCCAAACAATCAAGATATCCTTCTGTCAAAAGGAATATGCAGAGCACATTCGACCCATCAAGATTTGCAAAGAACGTGCCAAGCGAACCTCACTCCCAGCCAATCCTCAAGAAGTGACCGTCCTTCGAGCCGTCAATGGTGCCTTGGGTTGGCTGAGCGCTCAGACTTGCCCAGATGTTGCGGCGCAAACCTCAATGAGTCAACAGCGCTTACCAAAGCCAACGGTTTTTGATCTTCTCCAGGCCAACCAGGCCGTGAGACGGGCACGGCAACAAGCCGATATGAAGTTGAAGGTACCCTATCCCCCTGAAAGAGCTTTCCCTTTGCTTTTGGTCAGATGCAGCTTTTGCAAACTCCACTGAACTCAAAACTCATTCACATCAAATCGAATCCGGCAAGGTGCTGATGTCCCAGTTCACTGTTCTGCTTGGAAATCGTATCGTCTGCCACGCACGGGTCGTGTCATCGACCATGGGCGGAGCATTAGAGGAAGCTGAAGAAGTTTTGAAAAGACGCTCGCCAATCGGGGTCACCGACTGTCGGTCCTTGCGTGATCATCTAGTAACTTTAGGACAGGGAGGTGTCTTGGGAGACAAACGCACAGCAATAGACATTGCAATAATCAAACAGTCCACGCAGCGTTCGGGTCTAGAACCTAGGTGGGTCCCCACAACCCACATGTTGGCGGACGGCCTTACGAAAGACAAAGCCGATCCAATAGACCTGCTGCGTTCGGTCCTGACATCCGCTCGCTATCAACTAGCCGATAAACAGGCTGTCCTCGACAGGAAGAAAAGCGAGAGAGAACGCCGCAGACAGCTGTCCTGCATTCAAGCCAATAAGGAGCAGAGTCTAAAGACTCATGACCAGTTAAGATAATGCCATGTTTTTGACGCCATGCTTTCACTAACATTCAAGCATCGGCAATTGTGTGTGTTACACCTTGAGTGTCAACGGGGACACTGAAGGGACTTGTTTTTGATGCAGGGAGAATGTCGTGATGTCCTTTTGGTGCATGTGACAGTTAATGTGTTTTCCAGCGTGTTCACAGTGCAAACACTGTTTTGATCGCCTCTTCAAATCCATCAGATAGGCCTGAAGAGCATTGAATTCAGTTTTTCATCCATCCGTGAACCATTTTTCGTGAGTTTCTCGAGCAGCACGCGAGGTGAGATCGACCCCTTTTTTGTGCGTCATGGCTTCGAGCAACACTCCAGTGACTCCTGAGGAGTACGAGGCCGCGAAGGCCGTGTTGTCTCGCGCTCATCTCCCAGACAGGCCAATCCTCATCGACCATGGGTTCAATGAGTGATGCCTCAAAGCGGCTCCGCGACCAGCGAGACATCGACCTGGATGAGCAATGGGAGCCTGTCGAAGACCGCCTCAATCCCTCCAAGATGAGCAACCTGCAGGAGCCGATCCTGGCAAAGCCAGAGACCTCCTCACTGAAGGTGGATTTGCCGCCAGGCATTTCATGCTTAGCCGACTGGAGCACAACCATTTGCCGACTTCCCAAAGTTCAGGAGCAGGGCATGACGTATGCCGAGCTTGTGGCCAGCCGTGAGCATCAGGGATACCTGACACGGATCCAGCAACACGGCAAGGGGTGTGGTGGAAAGTTCGAAGATTTTGCCCGGTACCTAGAGGCCATCAAGTTTGCCGACTCCAAAGGCTACAGCAGCGATCCACAGCAGACCTATCCCAATAGCTGCGAGAAGCGCAAAAAGAAGTAAGGTCCTGGATGAATGATCACTGCCGGCGTTCGCTCCAAGCTTCGAGTTCTGTGCCATTGGAAGCACATTTACATATAAAGTAGTTGGAGTGTAAAAGCAGTGTCACCAGGACGATCCGTTCCTTCAGGCACCTTTGGTTCGAGGCAGAACCGTGGAGAAAAGCGGCACGCGGTTGGGAGGGTAGGAACCCTTGTTGCGTGCCAATCGGCCCTTGTTTTCACACATATATATATATATACACACTATATATCTAGCTAGGCCTACACAAAAATCCGAGCCTTCTGGCTTCACTTCCTTGCCTTTGGGGGCTAGCTTTCAACATCAGAAAAGAGCCGGACGCAGGATAGCTCACGCTTCTTCAAGGAAGCTCCCCCCGCCGCCCTAAGCACTGATCGTTTGGTTTCTAGATCTTTAGGGAAACTTAACTTGTTGGAGCACCACATAAAATGCGTTGCTCTGACTTGAAATGGTGACTCAGTCCTTCCAGAACGAACTGACACTGCTGCGCATCTGCTCTGCAACATATTCAAAGCAAGCGATCTGTCTGGCTCTTCTCCAGAAGGATCTGTCAGCAAAGATGTGAGTCCTCTGCCTGCATGTCATAAGCTCTGTGAAGTGAAAAAACAAAGCAAGCTACACGTTGCAAACAAAATCACGCCAGTGACATGGGTGACTTTGGCCATGGTTAGAACAACTCAATATCACGCGCTTTGGAATTTCGGTGGTTCACCATGGAGGTCTTGCGCGCGCCCCACCTAGAAATCAACCATTGCCATCGTATATGTGACCATCCCCCTCATCTCTTCTTATCCAAGAAACCGTCTGCTGAGCCTGCTGCTCATATCCGTGCTCGCAGTGGCTTCACTTAGAACCTGGGACTGCCCCAACGAAGTCGGTGAAAGGAGTTATCGCTTTCTACAAACGGTTCCCTATTGCATGTGTTGAAAAAAGCTTGACCCTTGTGATGTGGGCGCTAGTACGGATGGATACCGACAAAAAAAGACATAAATAGACTCTGCTGCGTGTCAACAAACTGTGGTATGGCCCTTTTTCATGGAGTTGCTTGAAAACCAGGAAAGCAGTAGTGAGTGTTCTGCGATTGTTCTTTGAAGAAACACCATGTATGCTTGGAAATAACCCAAAAAAGAATGTGCGTCATTGGCGCAGGACATAGCAGGACCCAAGGCCCTTTTTGTGCAAATCCAGTGGCAGGCCGGTCCTCATCCTCACTTCCGGATGAGTCCTGAGTACTCGGCGGACTGGACCCTTTTGTCTGACGGGCATGGCCCAAGAAAGTTGCAGGGAGAGAGAGAGAGAGAGTGTCACATCTGAAGCTTTTGGAACAGCGACAAACGCATCCAAACGCCCAGTGTCCAAATGGCTGGAGATCAATTTAAAGTCTGAGTCCTTTTTTCAACACGACGGAATGGCTCCACAATGCTGGAACTGCTGCCAAGAGTCAATCAAAAATGTGTTCACGGTACTAGCCAAAAGCCGGCTAGCCTCAACGTCTCTTCGCAAGAAGTCCTGGCCAGTCACGAGCAGCTGGGTTCCCTTACAATGTTTGCTATAATGTGTCCTGTGTCCTCTGTCCTGTGTTAGATTGAATGGCGAAATTATATACTTATCATTGGATATGTGTCCATGTCCTCTCTCTAGTATCCTTTAGTGAGGACCTGTGAGGTAGGATTCTCAAAACAGCCCGCACCCAATTGAATCAAAATCAGGATTCAAAGCTTCAGCCTTCTGGCAATTCATGTTTGCTGCCCGAAACCAGAAGTGTCACTGTCATCTCCGCCTGTACTAGGCCACCGGTCCGCTCTTGAAGTGCTGTTTCTGTGCCGCTGACAATGACCTTCATGCAAAACAAGGATGAAGAGGCACGTACAATGATAAACCTTCAAATGCCTGTTCTTGTTTGTGCCTTTCTTGGAGGATCTAATCAGATCTATGTATGATCTGTGTTTCATGCCTGGCGCAAGGCAAGAGATGCTCGGCGCTTGGTTCTTGGGTCAGAGACGATTGCAAGTGGATCGCCTCGGAAGTCTTTGCCACGTTTCTGAGAGGTCCCCACATCTTGTGATTCAGAGCCCTTTGAAAGTCCAAAATGCGCCGAATGCGGTCAAGACGCTGTTTGTTCGAAAAAACTGCTTGTTTGCCTTGAGCTTCCGCATGTCAGCCTTGCCAGTTGTCCAGGAAACTGTCAACGTCAATCACTACTGGTACTATATAGTACTAGTGCTGCTGCTGCTGCTGCTCCTCCTCCTCCACCTCCTACTGCTACTACTACCACCACCACTACTACTACTACTGCTACTGCTACTGCTACTGCTACTGCTGCTGCTGCTGCTGCTACTGCTACTGCTACTGCTACTGCTACTGCTACTGCTACTGCTACTGCTACTACTACTGCTACTGCTACTCCTACTACTACTACTACTGCTACTACGACTACGACTACGACTTTGACTACGTATACGACTTTGACTACGACTACGACTTTGACTACGACTACTACTACTACTACGACTATGACTACGACTACGACTACGACTACTACGACGACGACGACGACTACTACGACTACGACTACGACTACGACTACGACTACGACTACGACTACGACTACTACTGCTACTGCTACTACTACTACTACTAACTACTAACTACTAACTACTAACTACTAACTACTAACTACTAACTACTTACTACTTACTACTTACTACTTACTACTTACTACTTACTAC